TTTCGCAAGGAACCAAGTCCGCATTGTCTTGAGACAAGGGCAAGACACGGCCGTAAAGAAGGCTGTCTTTGGTGTGGACCAATGCGTTTCGAAGACAATGCATCTATTAACCACAGCACGTGTTTTTGTTTGCATGTTCACCACAAGTGCGTGTGGTTATTGTAGCTACGATTCCTTGCTAAAGGTTTCTTCTGTTTGTCGTTTTATCATCTTAACACAACCGTTTTATTGCCAGAAAGGGCCAAAACCTTTATCTTAGAGACCACAACATTGAGAGGGAAATCTTGATTTGAAGATTTCGTGACTGCAGGAATCCACACTCTTTGGTTCTATCGGTAAAGTCACGTAGGTGAAAAAAATAAAAGATCACGTTTCGATCGCAACAACGAGCGACCGTCTTCAGGTGATTGTTTTTTCTACCTACGTGACTTTACCGAAAGAACCAAAGAGTATTGAGAGGGAAACCCCAAAACACTCAGGCACAGAGCCATGGAACTGCCGCTGATGGAGACTATAGAGGTTCGTAATGAGTTTGCATAGCTGTATAGTGTTTATAATGACGAATACACTTCTTATGAGGCACACTCTGTTCATTTTAATTCTTCTCTTACACAGTCCTTAACACACAGAGGGGTATACGGTCCCCTCACCCGATACGCTAAGAAGGTACAGCCTCTGGACTTAGCGTGACCTACACACAGGTCTCTTGCTAACCTTAGGCGGCACAGCCTCCTATCTTTGCGGGACTTACACGTCTACCGCTATCCTAGAGTCCTCCGGCTGGGACCTAGGGGAGGCTACCTGACCCACCGCTGGCCTGGCGGGTCTTGACCACTGGATACGCCGAGCCTTAGCCCTCAGAAGGGCTGGAAGGCTGGGTCCAGGGTCCTGGCTATCTTCAGCCCGGGCTTCGGTCTTCGTGTAGGGAGAGAACTCCCCGCGCTCTGCGCGGTCACTCTTCTTATACCCGTTTGTGGCCAGGTGTAACCAATCCCACATTCCCACGTGGAACCGTCTGATTGGTTCTTACCAAACTGTGGCTACGATCCACGTCACCTCGTTCGACCCCAAACGTTATTCACACAGAGAGGTAACGCTGCACTGCCCCTTTGATACCTAGTGGCAATGCAGGTTACTGAACAGTGAGTAGTTAGCACCTCTACAGCTGCAACAGGAGAAGAATCTCCACCACTCGCCACTCCAAACTAAACAATTTTTTTATTTTATTTTTACCAAGTAAGCCCCACTGAGCAATACAGTTTTTTCAGAAGCGACCTGACCACAAATGCTATCCCAACGAAGTGGCTTAACACGTGGACATTTATAACCGCCAAATAATCTAGAACGCGTGATGTTGATTCTAAATGTGTATGGGGGAAAAAAAAAACCTGGAGAACCCAGAGAGAAATCCATGCGACCACGGGGGAGAACATGCCACCGATGTTCGCCGTGGCCGGGAATCCAACTCACATCGCGATCCCATGCTGTATGATTCATTCACAACCCAAAAGGGAATTTGACCCAAAGAAAGCGAGCGAGAAAGCCCGTGGCCTGCAGCGGTGTGGGTGTTCAGTGCATCTCGTTATCCCGTTGTGTTATTGCCCAGCTATTTTGTCTCTGCTGCGTTGTTTTGTGGACACCGTATTGTGGCCTGCGATCGCTCTCTTGCTGAGTAATTATCTCCATTGCCTCCGACTGTTTTCTGGCGCCTCGGGAGAGATGCAACCGCAGAGGAGGCGCGGTCTAAACAATACATGATCATGATTGCGGTGCGCTAACCACTGCGCCCACCCCCCTCCCTCCCCCGCCCATACACACGAAAGAATGGTGAGCGTGCGATTTGCTTCACCGTATTCTCCGGATTATACGAGACTGGTATATATGTAAGAATGTATAAGAACCTGCATATTGTAATCCGTAATCCGGCAGGCATTTGTATCAAATGATAATCTTTGTATAATTATAGGGCACAGTTGGTACATCGGCCAGTCATCTCAGTCAGTCAACGCACGGACACCTGGGGTCTTGAACCCTGACCTGCAAGCAGCGAGCCTTCCCACACTTTGCGTGGTTTAAAAAGTGCACCTAGCCTGGCACAGGCGCCGTGATAACGTCACTGCCACTTAGTAGCGACTGGCGGGTGTTGTTTGTTGTTGTTGTTGTTGTGTACCTCTATTGACACAACGTTTGGGGTCGTTTTTTTTTCTTTCACGGTACTTCCCGGAGCGTCCAATAATCTGGAGGATGCGGTAGCTCTCCGAGTCGGGGTCGGACCGGCACGTGGAGTCCACGTTTCTCTTGTCCATAGAGGGCGCTGTGCCAACAACCCGAGATTTATTCCACTGCGGTCTGCGCTCCTTCAACGGAGGAGGAGGAGGAACAGCGAAACTGCACGAACGAACTCTCCTTGCTCAAGAAGCCCTCTCTCGACATTGGCATCCAGCTCATCACGATTTTGCCATCACACACAAGAGAAAAATAGAGACACATTGAGATCAATGGAGATTTCATAAAGACCCACAGAGACACGTAGAGATGCGTGAAAGACAAGTGACACGTTGGTGCAATTGAAGCCATGCAGCCCGAGCTACGGGACACATAGTAAACTTACAGAGACCCACAGAGACACATGGACCGCACAATAACCCCACTGTGGTAGTCTGCGCTCCTTAAACTGAGTAGGGGGATCAGCAATACGACACGGACTCTCTCTCTCTGCTGAAGCCCTCTCGTCGTGGTCAGCAGTCTCTCTCGACATTGGTATCCAGCTCATGCAAAATAGAGATACATAGAGACCAATAGAGAAACATAGAGACCCATAGAGATACATAGAGATCCATAGAGATACATAGGGACCCATAGAGATACATAGAGACCCATAGAGATACTTAGAGACCCATAGAGATACATAGAGACCCATAGAGATACATAGAGATCCATATAGATACATAGGGACCCATAGAGATACATAGAGACCCATAGAGATACTTAGAGACCCATAGAGATACATAGGGACACATGAGATACATAGAGACCCACAGAGATACATAGAGACCCATAGAGATACATAGAGACCCATTGAGATACACAGAGACCCATAGAGATACATAGGGACACAGTCAGATACATAGAGACCCATAGAGATACATAGGGACACAGTGAGATACATAGAGACCCACAGAGACACGTCGAGATGCATTAAAGACAAGCCACAGGAGTGTGGCCATGCAACCCAAACTATGGCCCACACAGTCACCCCACTGTGATCTGCGCTCCCTCAACGGAGGAGCAACAGCGGACACGACACGAACTCTCTCTCTCTGATGAAGCCCTCTCGTCGTGGCCAGCAGCAGCAGCAGGACCTCGACATCGGCGTCGAGCTCCTGAATATATTGCCACAATGCGCGAGACTAGGAGATAATTTCAATAGCGGGTCTAATGTCCGTTATTTCATCCGCCCATGACTCTAGCCTGCAGTGTAAAGTGGGGTTCATCATATTTAAGAGTGTCTTGTGGGGGGGTTTTTGTGCGTGGGGTACCGGTGAGCGCAGCGAGCCTGAGTTCGATACCCGCTCACGCAAATCTGAACCAGTCCTGGGCCTGCCCTAGGTCGACTCAGCCTCAAATGAGAACTGCACCTGGTGCGGTGTGTAAACATCAGTACTCATGTCCCATGCTGGCCTTCACAGGTGTTACTCGCAAACAATAGCCAACAGGACTTGCCCCAAGAGTCTGTTAAGGTGATACGGGGGAGTGGGGCAGGGGGATATTTGTCTTGTGGCAAAGTCTGCGTTGGTACTGTATGACATGCATTGGTGTTCAATGTACTAGCAGCTCGTCACTTCTACGGTAAATCATACTGAAGTATATCAACATACTTAATTGGAATTAGACTGAGAGACGGAGAAAGAGGAAGACGTGGATAAGCGAACACACGCAGGCGAATGAGTGGGGCTTGTGCAGGACGCGTCGTGGCTATATACGGGACGATGGCCATCGGCCAGGAATCATGACGGAGTAACTGCCAAGAAAACGGAACGCATCCGAGAGGACGTCCACCGACGAGGAGATGGAGCGATGAAGAAAGCTTGTGTGTGTGAGAGAGAAAGACAGAGGAAAACGGCATCGCGACGATCGTGAGAGTTGTCGGGTGATTGTGGGGGGAGATACTTTCATCCAGCAGTGGATCGACCTTAGCTGCTGGTTACTGATGCTGCAGCTATTGCTGCTGCTACCGGTGGTGGTGGTGATACATCAATTCCAGACTTGAATAAGTTTAGGTCGTGCCGCTAATACAGGCAATTAGAAATGAGGGCAAAAGCGAGGTCCTAATGATCTTGCTTTCACAATGTGAATAATAGGCAGAGCTCTCACGCCGTTATGAAGGCACTAATTAATAACCATTGCATCCGTGTATTCACTGAGTAGGTGAGAGGCCGTTACCGACGTGTGTGTTTGTCTTGAATGTTTCTAAACTAAGGGTTGGTTGCCTATGTAACGTGAGCTATCATCACGCACAACAACGAGAGAACACCAACAACAATCAATTCAGCAAATGAAATAACAAAAAATATATAATGCACCGCATGATGTGTGCCACTGTGTGTGTGGGAGAGGGAGAGAGAGAGCGGAGCAAACTTGCATAGGGGAAAACATTCACACAGATCAATCACGGGGAGAGGGCTCCTCTCTGTACCCCCCCCCCCCCCGAATCCTTTTACCGTTGACTTTGCATCACAGGGGGGGTGATAGGGGGGGGGGGGTCAAGGGAGAGACACCGACATCACCACCACTCTGGGTCCCAAGCTATCGCTGAATAATGAAACGCATGACGCACAAGCGGCACAGCCTTCATATGAATGTCGAGCGCGCGCGGCCGTTCCGACTCACACGCGCGCTGGAGGTGTGCTGCTGCTGCTGCTGCTAGTGGTGAATGGTGGTGAGGGTGGTGGTGACGGTAAGAGTGGTGGGGGGGGGGGGGGGAGGTTGGGGCAGCAGGAGGGGGGGAAGAGGAGCAAGCAGTAGGAGGAGGAGTGGAAAGACTTCCTAACGCGGCTTGGCTGTCAGCGCCTCGGAGTGTGTGGATGAGGCGTCCCAAACAGGCCAGCCTCTTGGAACAGGCAGCGGAGTTGGATTGCAGGAGGCAGAGAGTCGCGAGAGATTTGAGATCACAGAGAGAGAGAGCGCGCGTGTTTTAGATTAAGAGACGAAGGCGTAAGAGGGATCGAGAGAGAGGATAGACAAGAACGTGCAGACAGATACGAGCGAGAAGAGAGATAGCAAATGATAACACGAGATAGAAAGATAATTGAGACATATATATGAAGGGGAGAGAGTAATATAGCGGCAGAAGATAAGATATCTCTCTACCATAAAGCACTGAAGACAATCAACCAGCATGAGCTAACCAGAGGTGACGTGAGTGCTCATCGTCATCATCATCATCTCACCACCACCTGCGCGTCAGTCAACAACAGAGCCCAAGCCATGATGGATCACCACTCCACTTGCAACCTGTCGGCGCCTCTGCAGGTAAACCTCGAGGGCCAGGAGACGGCACCAGCAGCAGCAGCAGCAGAGGTGTCCCTCTCCTACCAGGTGCTCACGTCCATGTGCCTGGGAGCTCTCATCCTCTTCTCCATCGTGGGCAACTCGTGCGTGATCGCCGCGATCGTGCTTGAGCGCTCCCTGCAGAACGTGGCCAACTACCTGATCGGCTCTCTGGCCGTCACCGACCTGATGGTGTCCGTCCTGGTGCTACCCATGGCCGCGCTGTACCAGGTGCTGGGCAGGTGGACGCTGGGCCAGGTGGTGTGCGACATCTTCATCGCGCTGGACGTCCTCTGCTGCACCTCGTCCATCCTGCACCTGTGCGCCATCGCTCTCGACCGCTACTGGGCGATCACCAACCCCATCGACTACGTGAACAAGAGGACGCCGCGGCGCGCCGTCATCATGATCAGCCTCACGTGGCTCGTGGGGTTCTCCATCTCCATCCCGCCCATGCTGGGCTGGAGGACGCCGGCGGACAGGGCGGACCCGAACGCGTGCAAGATCAGCCAGGACCACGGCTACACCATCTACTCCACGTTCGGCGCCTTCTACATCCCGCTCATCCTCATGCTCGTGCTCTACGGTCGGATCTTCAAAGCGGCGCGCTTCCGGATTCGCAAGAACGCCAAGAACCGCGAGAAGAGGGTCTGCGACGCCAGCGTGGCCTTGAACGAGGAGATGATGCACCGGCGACTCAACGGCGCTGCTGCTGCTGCTGCTGGTGGTGTCGACGGAGCTGGTGCTGGTGCCGGCGGCTCAGCGATGAACGGCAAGCAGCAGCAGCAGCAGCATCACCAGCAGCAGCAGCAGCACTCCAGCAGACGCGACAGTTCCGAATCCAGGCCGCCCTTCTGCTGCAACGGCGCCGTGCGCAGCTACGAGGACGAGACGCCCGTGCAGGTGATGGAGGCGCCGGGCGGTGGGCACTGCACGCTGCACCTGCTGCCCAACAACGTGAACCAGGAGGCGACGCGACTGGGCGAGGGCGCCGAGCGAGGAGGAGGAGGGGGCGGCGAGAGAGCCACGGACTCGAGGCGCAAGACGGCGCTCGCGCGGGAGCGCAAGACCGTGAAGACGTTGGGTATCATCATGGGCACCTTCATCTTCTGCTGGCTGCCCTTCTTCATCGTGGCGCTTATCTCGCCCTTCTGCGGCGAGCGATGCCGCCATTCGCCGCCGGGCGTGTTCGCCGTCATCAACTGGCTCGGCTACTCCAACTCGCTGCTGAACCCCATCATCTACGCGTACTTCAACAAGGACTTTCAGAACGCCTTCAAGAAGATCGTCCGGTGCAGGTTCTGCAGGAAGTAGGAGACTCGTTGTGGGTTTCATGGTCGGGAGATGTATGTGGAGGTGGGTGGGTGGGTGGGGGGCTTATTTGTTTATGAGCAATGTTGATGGTGAGAGGACCCGCGGTAAATGTCTGACCGTTGGGTGACTTCGTGTGGTGATGGTGACGCTGAATCGATGTACAATGCAGTTCGGTGTCGAACAATGAAAGATCCCGCCCCCCCCCTCTCACTTAACACCCTCATCCCCTTAATTAATTGTCTATCGATTAAATAATCGATTCGGCGATGAATGTAACAGCCTCAAGTGAGTGGCTAACAGTACACTTTCAGTTCAATCCGCTGCTGTATTAAGGCATCTCTCGCTCTCTTTCCTCGCCGTGTCTTGCCTACGATGTTGTATTCATGTCACACACAGTAATGCACACCGTCCGCGACCACAGTGCGTGAAATTGGTGGGTGTAATAATCGACCATAATCGATTAAACCGTGGCATCGTTGCACGCTCTCTCCGGGATGTAGACCAACCCTTCGATGACGTTCACAATGTAGATGTATTTTTTATTTTTTAATATGTTATGAACGTTCTTAATACGTTCACGCGAAAGTCTAGACTGGGCTGTTAAAAAAATAATGAACACGTTTATATGCTATTAATGGTTTAGTGTAAATAATACAATACGATGTACATAATGCAATAGACTGCGGTTTTAAAAATGCAGTGACAATTGGATTTAAATATCCTCTAAATGCAAATGCATCTTGAAGACGCTGTAATACTCAGCTGTGGGACACGGGGGGGGGGGGATGTGGGGAGAGAGATGAATATGAAAGAGACTCAACGTTGAGGATGCCACTCAGAATTCAAGTTTGTTATTTTCAAGATCACACCTCACACCGCGTGGCTTTATTCGTTTGCCTGTTCAAAATGAAGCCACTGCGAGTTGGCCGAGAATCGCTCGATATTTACTCGCTTGCTCAACGCAGAGGAGATATTTCGTTTACAGCCAATGCACACAAGAGTCGCAGTTTATGGGCAGAAACGGATGGGGAGAAGAGAATGAGGTTCTGAGCCACCTGTAAATATGAACGGCGTACAAGTAGATGTTTCCGCTGTTCACGTTTACACCGACACACAACGAATTGAGAGGACAAGCGAAACTTCACTTTCCTATGTGCACATTGGGTGGCACCCGAATAAACAACGCCATAGGGATGGCAGAAGTGGGAGGTCTTGGGCCTAGACTTGAACAGGGGCTGGAGTCTACAGCGCGGACGGCGGGGGGAAGAGTTCAGAACTGCCGGGCAGCAAAGGAGAACGAGAGACCTCCCGCAGAGCGAAAGTTGACTGCGGGCTTCCGCAGAAAGCCTTGGTTCCTGGAGGAGAGTGAGAGGAGACGAGTGAGATGGGAGGGGCGAGGTAGATGAGTGCGTTGAGGGGAGTAGAGTGAGATGAGAGGGGAGAGGCAGGAGAGTGCGTGGAGGGGAGTGGAGTGAGATGAGAGGGGAGAGGTGAGAGAGTGCGTGGAGGGGAGTGGAGTGAGATGAGAGGGGAGAGATGAGAGAGTGCGTGGAGGGGAGTGGAGTGAGATGAGAGGGAAGAGGAAGACGGGTGAGTTGTGGCGTCTTGAAGCCGATCCCGGGCCTGGATCGAGATCGTGCGACACAATTAGAATTTATTCCGCGTCTACACAAAACCGCATCTGAAGACACCGGCGATGGAAGCAAGGAAAGCACGCTCGTGATGTGATGTGCTGGGAAGAGGATGGATTTTATATTGGAGGGAGACAGCGGTGACAGGAGGGCACGGGGATGTTACTTCTGCGCTGAATAAAACCCAAGCGCGGCCGATGATCGACAGGGGAGCTCAGCGAGAAGCAATTGAGCGTGGACTCAAACAGGTGGATCACAGAGTTTGCGGTGTGGGGGGTCGTTAGGAGGAGTTAGTTCCAGGCTACAGGGGCAGCAATGGAGAAGGGTGCGATCTCCCCAAGTGCCATACCCCGACTTGCCAGGAGAAGGTAGTGCAGCAACAATGTGGCCGCCACCTTTTCCGTCTTGATGTGATCGAGTGTTTCCCCCTCGCATGCACGCATGTGCGGGTTTTCTCCGGGTGCTACGGTATTCACCCCACACGTGAACGCTCAACGAATTGGCTGCACATCTGTATCATCTACCTTAATACATCAAAATATATGGCAGGGATCAGCAACCGAAATAACAAGAAGAGACATTTTTTTCCCCCAATTTCGTGTGAAAGAAAAAAACAACCCCGCCACGTCTCAAGAGCCGCAATGCACTGTGCGGTGAATACGAGACGGCGGTTCACTGAACGAATAACGGTCACGAAACCGGCAGTCCTTACAGAGCCCGCCGACCCATGACATGCGGAGAACCGCAGAGCTTGGAGCAATTGTTGGTAGCGGCAGCGCTCGCCACGTGGCGGCTGCTACTGCCTCCCTGCTCGTCCGTGGTACCTCCTCCTGGCGTCTCTGAGTCGTCGTCGTCCCCCGCCCCCACTTCTCTATCTGTATGAGAGCGAGCGAACACGCGTCACGCCTTGAATTTATTCCATTTAACGTCGCAAGTCAAAACGCGTGATGCGTTTTGAGAACGCGCCAGCGCAGCATCCACCGCCACTGGCGTCCTGGCGGCTTTGATTTTTGTTCTTTTCTGGAGCGACGGTTTCGCCTAAATCAGCCGAATCAAAGCGCATCGGCAGGACCACGCACGCGGCGAGGACTGACGAAGGCAAATTCATTGAGAGCAACAAACAACAACAACAACAACCGGAAGGCCGCCGCGCGGTTTGCAAGCACAGGAGGTCAGCAATCAATGTTATGGACTGCAGGCGGCGAGGACTGTAATGGGTTTAACGGAGTTGAGCGGCCAAAAGGGCTGGTGTTGGGTGAAAGATAAAAAGGGCTTTCTTTGTACAGGGAGGTGGCCAAGGAAAATCCAGGGCGATTCGTTTCTAGATACCCCCACCGATTTTAAATGAACAAGCGATGGAATATTGGGGGCTGGTGGGTGGGTGGTGTGTGGGGGGGGGGGGGGCGGTTCGATTTATGGAGAGTTGTTCGATCAAAAAAGAGCGTTGAGGGGTATCAATCGTTGCACGCACAGAGAATGATGCCCCCCCAGACGTATCGAGAGAGGGAGAGAGAGATGGTCTGGAGTAACGTGGTGCTGTTGCTGCCTCGGCTCTATAGCTTCTCCCTCTGTTCGAGTGGCGGTATCTGCACGTCATCCGGCCGCCTCTGTACAATGCAGTGGTCACGCACGACGAGACAGGTGACCATCACAGACTGAAGCATGTCTTCACGCTCACGTGTGCTGATGATAGGGCCGTGTGTGTGTGTGTGTACAGAGACCGCCCGCGCAATATGTATGGTTTGTGTGTTGACCATGCGTGATGATGATGATGATGACGATGAAACTAAACTTACAAGGAAACACAATTAACGCGTTATATATGTTTTTTTTGTATCAACTCGTCATTGAATATCACACTTCACGATGCTTGTTTTGTGTTGCGTGTCGCTCGCTCCACACGTCAAGAAAGAAAAGGACGCTGCCGTTATGCATGGGATAGAGTGTCTCTCCCTCGCGTGAGTGGGTTTTTATCGCATATGTATGTGTAGGACCGCAGAGCTTGGGCAATTGTTAGTAGCACCCCCCCCGCTACCCCCGCCGCGGCTCCCGCCCCTCTGTCCATTCGTTCGCCACGGTGAGTTAGCGTGTGGTGGGGTAAAGTGTGGGCACTCCCACCTCTTCCAAGACGTGCGGTCGCCGTGGAAGAGGAGCGCGAGCCAGCCATTGCAGCGGCTGCACCTTTGCAGTTTCATTACGGCGTGGGACTTGCAAATGAAGTAACTAATGAACTCATCTTAACAGTTGGGGATGTGATCGTAATTCACCCCCGAGCCTCCGCACCACCACGAGGGCGAGTCCATGAGATGTTGCACGCCATTCAGGCTGGCGATTAGATTCAGAATTCAATTACGCTGCGACTCGTTTTACACCGCGGATAACGTAGCGGCCTCTAGTGGCTGCGTGGAATCCATTGCGTGCATCGCCTATGGAAGGTTTACGAATCGGAACGTCGAGTCACGCCAAAAGAGATTCGATGTATGCGTGCATCGCGAGCTTTGTCGATATTAATCGATTAATTTATGTACCACCGGGATCAATATGCTTGCTCTCGGATGGTTACTTACGAGTTACGAGTTCAAATCTAGGTCGGGGTCGACTGGGCTTACCATGTTGACAACCATCACCACCATCACCACCACCATCACCACCACCACCACAACCATTATCATCATCACCATAACCATTATCATCACCACCACCACCATAACCATTATCACCACCACTAATGTCATCATTGCCACCACTATCATCTTCATCACCACCATCACCACCACCAATATCATCATTGCCACCACTATCATCTTCATCATCACCACCAATGTCATCATTGCCACCACTATCATCTTCATCACCACCATCACCACCACCAATATCATCATTGCCACCACTATCATCTTCATCATCACCACCATCATCATCACCACCACCAATATCATCATTGCTACCACCATCATCTTCAGCATCACAAAACAAAGACAAAGATCCCCCGTATAGCCTTAACAGACTGTAGGGGCAAGTGCTGTTAGCGAGCACCACCACCAACATCTCTCCAGTCGTTGGGTAAAGCGAGCCACCACGTCGCACCAAGCGAACAGTAGATAACACCATAAATTGATCAATTCATTCAAACTGAATTCTTTACAACGAGGGTTCGATCTAAATTTCACAGGGTCACGCGTCCGTCTGCAGCGGGTCGCACCTCAATGGCGGCGGAGGAGGAGCGCAGATGAATTATCATTTGCACCCTTAATAAACAAGCCCAAGACCTAATGACCTACAATGCGCTCCGATCTCATCGCATCTCATAAGCTTAGGCTGGGTTGAAGCCTCGTGGTCACTGCTGCTTTATAATTAGTATTTTTTTTTACCAGCTAAGGCCCACTGAGCTATTTACATTTGTTTTCAGACGCGACCTAGCCACAAATTATAGCTCCACAAAATCGCTTGTCGCGTGGAAATTTATATAAAGAAAAATACTCAAAACGCATTGTTTGTAAATGTGGAGGGAAACCCCCCGGAGGACCCGGAGAAAGAAAAAAAACACGCGACCACGGGGAGAGAGACACCGCAAATTCCAAATACACAGCAGGCGTCTGGGTCGGCATCGAGCCCACGACCTCCTGTCTACCAGGCGATGTAAAACATCTCGCCACCGTGACGTGGACGGCCGATCACCAGGCTGCCAGCGGGCTACGTTGTCAGCCGAGGAAAGTAAATATATTTATCACAATCCATTGTACTGTACTTCCCCCCCTCCCTCCAACATCCATGGCTCCCCCTGACTGCTTACACCGCCACTGACTATCCCTTGGTGAGAAATGAGAAAATTACCCCCGACCCCACCGCGATCCGAGCGGCGTGGAGAAGCCTTGTTAGGCAGTGGATTGATAGAGGTGGGCGGACGGACGGGTGGGTGGGTGGGTGGTGGCACGTGTATAGGGACAGACAAAGCCTCTCGTCAAGGGACATAAACCATCACGCGAACTCCGGCCATCCTCGCATCGCGCAGCGCTTTCAGATGCGCTTCTGCGGCCGTCTGGAACGCTCTGCCTTCCGATATGAGGAAGCCACTGGAGCTACGCACTTTTAAATCGTCTAGATTGAAAGCTCATTTCTTTAGAACCGCTTTTTGTAGTTTAGTTTCTTGTCCTTCCCCCGCCACCTCCGATTCGCACGGTTGGCTACGTACGGTGCGAAAGAAGTTCAACACTGGTACACACATAAGCATCGCTTGATGCGATAGGCTCCTCTCTAGTAGCTACACTCATAGGCGTGCGTGGCGACTCGAGCTGTCCCACGCGTGACTAAATAATAATAATAATACGAGGGCAACGATTATAATTTAATAGCAATAATAATTATGTGTTGGTCATGGTGGGAGGTGTTTGACCACTATGTGGGGAACAGCCGCGTAGCAGTTAGTGGCGATTATCTGAACCGGTCCTGGAGAAGTAAAAATGAGTTTAACACGTTAGGCTTTCGCGACCAATATTATTCGTAATAAAGGTTTTTTTGGGTTAGATCGCGTTATTTATAAATGTGTCGAAACCCACCACCACCCGACACGGCCAATCAGCAAAATAAAGTGTCACGTTGACAAAAGACAATTAGTTCACTAATTTAGCCCACCGGTGTGTTGAAGAGTGAATCCACAATATTTACAGTTTGAATACGACGTTTCGCTGGTAATTACATCCAGCATTATCGGGCGAATTGCCCGATGATGCGAATTGCCCGATGATGCTGGATGTAATTACCAGCGAAACGTCGTATTCGAACTGTAAATATTGTGGATTCACTCGAATTG